CTTTGAAAACGTTGCAATATTGCTTCATTCTCAATTTTTTCAAAAATCTCTTTCTCCATGTACACCACCAAATTGTCATTCAACCAGTCGTCTCCCATTTTGTTGCGCAAGTCACTTTTGATTAGATTCAAAGCAGAGAATACTCTTTCAACACTTGCAGTTGCCACATGTAATATCAAAACCAAGATGACCAGCCTATAAACCAATGGAAAATAATAAGATCTTCTTGTTTCAACCAACTTTTGAACCACACAAGAAATGCTATTGAGATTAAAAAAGGCTTCATTCATTTTCACAAATATAATGAACTTGTCAAGTTAAGGTCGAAGTAATAAAAGCTCTTCATTATTGAAGTTCAAATGATACAACTGAGCAAGACGTAGCAATTCATCCCTATCAAAAGCTATAAAGGAATCTCTTGGATTTAAACACGAAATGCATGTTAGGAGCTCAATAGTTGTCTCGGAAAAACGTTCATTCAACTCTTGCAAGATTGAGTCTATCACATGACAATACAAATCAACATAAAAACAATGATAATAAGTCACCTGCTGAGTTCCACGCCTAGATCGACCTTTCAATACTACAATATCCTCCATATTGGGCACAAAAATATATCTAACAACACAAAACTCAATTAACCTACTCAACAAATTATCACAACCATTGTCTCTCATGTCCTGCAATGCATACTTACACAAATTCACTAACTCCATAGCATTCTGAATATCCTGATCCTTTTTCAGCAAGGCTTGTGAAAGGTCGTCTGTAATTGCTAGAATTTCAAACATGAAATGGAGACTGAATACAAACTCGAAGTCCTGCATACTGTCCATCTGTCTTGCGGCCATTGATTTCTGCTCTAAATTTACATCATCTTCTAATATATCTTTAAGAACATCTATGAAAGCATTAAACATGTTGACCCCAAAAAAATGAACTCAACAGATACCGGGTTCACTTTCGCCACGTCAAGTACGGATCCAACACGTTTTTACCAGAATGAGACCGGTAATCCCGCTGCAGTGAACGTAGGAGGCACTTTCCAGCGAGAGACAAAAATGTTAAGGTTCCGACGATATATTTCAGGATTATCACGCTATCAATGATCTCCTATTTAACAAAAATGACAATGAAATATGTGGAAGGATAGATATGATGAGTAGATGAGTTCCCTTTATTTCAATAAAATCTCAAGTGTTTGTATGAGTATATGTTTGTATATTCTTTGCATCAATCCTCCATCCCCTCTTTCTATACAGAGAGTGGCTATTTATGTTGCTCTAGCCGATGTGATGATCATTGGATCAAGTCCACGTGGCGACATCCCCTAAGCCGAAGCTTCACATCACCGTCCACTCATTACATTTAATGTTTTGACTAAAGGTCGACCATTCTAGTGATAGGCTGACAATGATTAAAATTACAGACACTTCAATGCAGATGTCACATCAATCAATTCAAAAAGATCTTCGAATCTGGTGAGGCAGCGTCGATTTCATGAGTCTCGGGCGAGCCAACAAGATCCTCGGATTGGGTAGTGTCTCGTCTTTGAGGAAGTACTTCAGGCCGATGTTTATTAATGTGAAAGCATCTATTGCTAGGGTGAAGGCCTCGGCCCATTTTCTTATTTGGTCTTCTGACCTATTGGCCCTCCTCTTAGCTCCTTATTGATCGTCATGCCACGTGGCATGCCATGTGGCCCAGCCTCCTTAGACCTCGAAATCGGGGATAACAATAGTCCCCCAAATCTAGGCATGATTATTTATATAATGCATGGACTTGAAAGTAAGATTGAGATACAAGTTTAGATAATAAGATAATCTCTTAGAGCTTCGGAGAATTAGAGGCTCTCTTAGAGTTTTGGAGAATAAGACGCTCTCTTAGAGTTTCGAGAAATAGGACGCTCTCTTAGAGCTTCAGAGAATAAGACGCTCTCTTAGAGTTTCAGAGAATAAGACGCTCTCTTAGAGCTTCGAGAAATAAGATGCACTCTTAGAGTTTCGGAGAATTAGACGCTCTCTTAGAGCTTCGGAGAATAAGACGCTCTCTTAGAGCCTCGGGAAATTAGATGCTCTTTTAGAGCTTCAAAAAATAAGACGCTAACTTAGAGTTTTGATGACGAGATTCCTTTCTTCAAATATTCTTCAATAATTGAGGCTCCCTCCCTTGTTTAATGAGGTATGAAGCTATGATTAGCCTCGGATTGATGGTCACCAGGACTTGTTATTTTTCCAATAACTCTGATATTTACGAGACATTTTAATCATGGAGCTTCAATGATCTGATGTCTTGGTACCTTCCCAAGAAAAACAGTTGGGGTCATTTCAACTTCCAACACACGTTATAGCCCCCGCATTAAATGCGTAATGATGATGGTTTCCCACGTTCTTCAACAAGATTTTCAGATGCATGAGGACGCGTGTGAGCCACGATC